TTGACTGTCTACTCCGTATTTTGACCATGGGGGTTCGATTTATTTTCCCGTCTTTAAAAACATGTCCAATCCCTATCCTCTTTACAGATTCTCATTTACCTTGTATGCATTATGGGCTTGTCAGCGATTAGTGAAATTCGCTTCGCCTTATTCCCTTGTACGATAATAATGATGAGGCTGGGCAACGAGGTTAGCGGCATGTAACTGGATACACTTCGGTTTCCACTGTTTCTTAATAATGACAATACCACACAATAATTATAGGCACAGATTTACAAGGGAACGGGAGAGTAATTTTATTGTAAAAAGCCGTGATTCATAATTTGTCCCCACTTTGGATTTAGGTTTCGTTCCGCGTCGTTCATCATTTCTTCAGTCACTTCAGGGTCACTTATCGGTTATCTATCTACCCTAAACGTAATCAAAACATTTTAGCTCTCGTACAAAACCTAGGTTTATGCACTGATTTATTTTATCTATAGCGAAGGATGTCAGAATCCCTCTCATTCTTATATGTGCTCAAAATAAATTTGTACAGGCACTTGAGCTCCCTTGGATGGACTAACGACTAGTAACCTGCCACAAAGCAATGGAACAAAGTGTAGTTTTGCTTCTGAAACCCACGTCCAAAGGAGGGAAAATATGGTCCAAAGTTTTCAGCATTTAAATTACTTTACCGGTACATTGAGAACCCTATCTGAAATTATTCATTTGCACAATTCTGTATTGGCATGATTATGAATTAATGAAAGTGAGCTTGTTACTTTGTGTTTCCATCAAGTGTTTTATGGGGCTGTTCACATACTTCTCTTTCGTTTTCTTGCATGCACACTAGATTGAAGATTCGAAGAAAGTTAGATGCACAATTCGTGACAATATCTTGAAGGCTCATAAACCCCTAGGACGTTAAGTCACTAACAGAACGAAATTTTTTGAGTCAGCTTTATTAAACTCATAATGTGAGTTTACCTAAATAGAGAAAAATTGCACTCGATTCAAAGGAATAGAAACGATAATTGTGTGAATAATTAGGGTCTTGTTCTGTTAATTTCTCCGTAGTATTACTTGGTGTCTATGACTGGGACCCGTTTTTGGAGATGTGGATGAATAGTGCGGGTTGGCTCATGCGTTCACAATTTATTTAGAATCATCACTTCAGATCACTGACACGCTCCATTCCATTGCATTTAACGGTAATCAATGATCTGTTTAATTCTGACAAGTCGGAAATACGCTTTGACATTGATACAATATCAATAAATATTTTGATAAGAAAATCATCTTGCTGAAGGTGAAAAGTTCCGCCATACTTCATGATGTGAAAGAACCCACTGAATCTAATTCTAACACTGTATTACAAAAAACATGGTTTAACCTAAAAATAAGTAATATTTAAAACTGTCGAGGATTTGACCAATACATTTTGGCCACCAAGTATTCTTTGGGATGCCAATATACAGTACGTGGAAACTAACGTCCCGCCCCAGAGTTGCGATATTTTCTAGTCATTGTTGTGAACTACTCATAAGTAGTCATACTAGAATTGAAGGTAGCATCAATGGCAGGACTTCCCCTATAACTAACGGCCGGAACGATAGGACTTGTTCGTCCCAAATAGGTGTCTACTCTTGGGTCGGGGCCCTTAATAAAGTAATACTGTACACCAACTCTATGATTATCGTGCACCATTAATTGCGCTTCTCAGTGTTATCTTGCATCCATCTATCTCTTGTTTGTCGTCGTCCATTCCGGGGACCAACGTTTTTGCATCCTCCATACGAATAGAGTTGTAGCTTGAAAACGAAACCATAATTGGTGGGAAACAACTGTGTTTCTATGACTACAGATGATTCTTCCTCCACTAAACCTCTATACTTCTTTTTTCTATCCACCACTACTGTTCCTTGTGGAAATACTTGTCGGCAGATAGTTCCCGCGAGCTTTGAGGCGCCATTCGTTAACGGCCCTGTCAAAACCATTCAAGCAACAAGGATTTTTCGGTAAATTGAGGTGTCCTGAAGTCTTTCTCTCCATGATCATGACCATGAAATTTTCTTCTCCGAAACTTCTTTCTTGGACACATTGATATCTCTTACTTTGTCACACTGATAGTAATATCTTTTTCTTTGATGGTCCCTACACGATCTATAGTTGCCTTCAAATTCAATTTCAGTGATGTGAAACTTGTGCTGATTATATGGTGTACTTAGCCGCTTTGTCATCAGTAAGCTTCAGCGAGAAAATTGCATTGACAATAGCTACCACCGCAGGTGTCAGTGGCTGAGCACTCAGCGCATGTGGAGTTCTTGAATATCCACCGACGCTATTTTTCAAGTGATTGAGTATCTCGTTCTCTCGGCCTGAAATGGAGGTGACCAAGGAAGTAAACTATCTGAAAAGATATGGTCCGGACAGGCTGTCCCATCGGTTTTTAAAAGATGAATATTCAACCTTGGTTCCGGAGTTAACGAAGCTCCTGGTCTCAGTGTGATAAGGGAAGAGGTTCCAACTGAATGGTGTGAATCGGTAATCATACCGATTATCAGAAAGGCGACAGGTCCCCTTGTAGACATCACAAGAGAATTAGTTTAGTCAAAATCGTCTCCAAACTTCTCGCTCATAGTATAATCCGTCCATTGTCTGCCGCACGTGAATGGCGCACGCGTGAGAACCAGGCTGGCTTTAGACCTGGCCGAGGTTGTATCGAACATTTCTTCACTCTTGATCAAATTCTTAAACGCAGAATCTCCCTTTGCGGATCCACCATTTCTCTCTTCCTCGTTCCGAAAGCAGCTTTTCACTAAGTCGACCACTCTAAACTCTGACGCGGCCTTCCTCGGAAGAATGAGCCCGAGTTTATTTCAATTTTTGCTATCCCTATATACTAATAGTCGAAGCCGTTTCCGAGCTTGCAGCACATTTTATCCACAGTTCACAACGGAAAGTGGCGTTCTACAGACTTGCCTCTCTCTCTGTTTCTATTTAACTTTGTGACAGGTTTAATTCTTGAAACAGCCCTATCCTCGTGCGACCTTAGCGGTTTCGATTTACTCCCTTAAGCCCCGGTTAGGTATTCCAAAGAAAAAACCCTTCGTCTGTGTGGCCTCCCGTGAAGTGCATACAGCAATACGACGAATAGGTATCTACGCTTCGTTCTGTAGCTGTTGGCCTGTGGTGAACCGTTGAGACTTACAGCGCACAGTCGGCTACTGACTGGAATCCAGTCAGGAAGCGAGCGTTCAGCCTTGGTACTTAGCGAAGTCCCAACACCAGCAACACCGCGAGCTTTGGATGCCGAATCGCCTGACACGCGAAGGGTGAAGCGTGAGGTCGAGGTGGGATCAGGAGAACACAGAGAGATAATAGAAGTGGGGTCTTGTATGTGTGTTTCGGAGACACAACATACATCTAAATTGAAAGTTTCAAGGGTTCTATCTAAGGCAGCTTGTTGACCGATCTGATAGAGTGTGCGGACATTGAACGCGGCTAAGTGAAAAGGAGATTTTGGCTTCAAAATTCTTGTAACTCCTGGTCGTTTGACCTTGCTTGTAAAATGCTGATTGATATTCGATGGGTGGCGTAAACAGGAGGCATCTGGGATTATTTGGGATTGAGAGGAACTAGACAGATGGGAAATATGGTTTTCCAAATGGGTGTCCAAGAGTTTAGGGCACTGCATACTTCACGGTAGTCCACACTGACGAAGGTTTTTCTTTGGGATCCCTAACCGGAGCCCTCGACTCAAAAGTTTGACCCACAAGGCAGTGGGGTGTATATCCAACATGGGAGCGTGAACGAAGCGTTCGTATGGGAGCTTCTAGAGACCTGCCACGTAACGCCTTCGGATTTCGGTTAAGTTTGTTGTTCGCTGGCAAGTTGATTATCGTCCCGCTTTTCGGGATCGGCCGTTAGTCTTATTCACCTAATGAGACAAACGGAACGTGGACGCGACAGCACCTTATGGACTGGGGACTGCCTAGATTGGGCGGTTGGTAGCGAAGACGTCTCTCACCGTCTAGAGGAAGCCCCAGGTACCCCGCTCCTACGTCCATCTAGCAGGCTTTTTTCGACCGGTAAGCTGCCCCTCACCGTGTTTATTTGCTGGAGTGACTTCTCCAGGGGTGGATGTGAATAGAAGGAGGAATCTAGGAGGTGCCCAAGCAGCTGGCTTTGTGAAACTGAGTTTCGTCTGACTTCCACTCCTTGACCTTTCAGGCATGATTGAATCTACGTCTGTGAAAAGCTATCCTGTATAGCTCGCAGGGTTATACTTACTTTGCTTTACTTTGGTTGGATGTTTGGAGCACTGGAATGAACATAACTGTGGTATGTGTCGGACGAAGAATAAATAAATGCAGCATTCAATTTTTCAACATAAACAGAGGATCTGTAAATCACTTTCTTCTGCCTGCAGGGTAGATTGATTCCACGTCACATAGATTGATTGTTCCTCGTCCCAAAAAACTGACTTCCATAAAGGGCATCCAACCGTCTTATTTCACTCTTGAGCAGAAACAAAAATCGTTGCATCTGGTGGTTTTTTTACTAGGTCAGCAGACTTGAAAGATGTGCACACACAATTAGACTGTTTACCTTGTGTGTTGACCAAAGGAGTTTACTTTCATTTTCCTCATGCCAGACAGACTCACTCCCTATCTACATTTCATATTTGCTCTTACTTTGTCCACATTTTGAGCTTGAGAATTATCAGCGAAGTTCGCACTACTGTGTTCCCCTATTAGTTTATAATGATAATTTTATCTTTAGTGGCTTCTTCGAGGCCGACTGCATTAAAATATATTGCATCCCGACGCTCGCCATGTTGCGGTCTATGTATTCAAAGTGCTCCGCAACAGTTTGTGTTATTCGAAATTGTAAACTCTCAGCATCAATTCGAAATTTGTCCAAATGGGATACAATTGCAACTTCAGACACTCCACGTAAGCTCATTTTGTCGCTTGTCTAAGCCTAAAGTTCGTGAGGATCAGGTTCCAAAACAGACGGATGTGCTGATTGTGGGTGGTGGTGTGATCGGTTGGGCTGTGGCATTTTGGCTACGATGGACCTCCAAGTTCTCCGTTACTGTCGTCGAACGTGATCCAACCTACGCTTGTTCGGCTTCCGTACTCGGATTAGGCTCAATAAGGCAGCAGTTTTCTGAGCCCGAAAATATACAAATGTCGCTTTTTTCTAGCGAATTTCTGCGAAATGTTAAAGATTATCTGACTGTTTTGGGTAAGTGATTCGTTGAATTTCTCATTAAATTCCAGATAATACGCAGTTGGATATCGATTTCAACCCGCAAGGTTGTCTTATTCTAGCCAACGAAAGTCAAGCGGAGACATTAAAACAAAACTTTCAACTCCAGTCGTATGTCGGAAAGATTCCGTTCCAAAACTTTATATGTTTCTAGGGATCTCGGTGCGAAAGTAGAGCTTTTGGATAGGTCAATGCTCAGCTCGCGTTGGCCTTGGTTGAATGTGGACGATGTCGAATTGGGTTGCTATGGTAAATGCATACTGAGCGCTTGACTTTTATGTCAGATGTTCTATTTATTTCATTCTATCCCATATTTGTCGTTTCATTTAATCCTTATTCGTTGACGTAAAACAAACAGGCATTTATTTAGTACAGCAGTTGCTAATTCCTGGTGTGTGTGTGTGTGTGTGTGTGTGTGTGTGTGGATAGGCAAGGAATTTCTAAATTTAAATCAAAGGTAAGTGATTTGATTGTGTCAATAACGTTTGGGAGCACAAAATAATCTTTTCAAGTTCACCTTGTCCAAACGTTATATGGACAATATTTTTATTGTTACGGAGCGTTAGTACAACTTTGTGCACCGTATGAAACGAAAATTTATGGGTTAATGCAACCACCGTACACTCAAGCCTGTCATGAAGTGCCGTTTGTTGGGAGGGGCATCGATAGTCATCTCAATTTTTAAATACCCGTGAACCTTTTTCGCCAACGCTAGCGTTATGAGTCTAATCCAAATAATAGCGCTGAAACTCTAGGTGTCCCCCATGTCTCACAGATTGCTCGAAAGACGTAATTAGTAATAATCTGACTGGATTTCACCCCCTCTTTTGGATGTAATATCCACATCGTTTCTCTGTGTCAACTTGTTAAGCATTAGTGCGCATGAACACTTTTCAAGTTCCTCTCATGCGATCTTCTCATTCTCTTGTGCTTCATTCATGTAAATCTCCATTTCTTCGTGCTTTGTTTTGTGTACTGTCTGTTTTAAACTCAAAGACGATAAAAACGGCTTCTAAACCATCCTTATCTTCATTCTTGGCTCCAGCCATCTTACAAGTAGTTCAGATATCACCTTATAAATATATATATATAAACCAATCTTTCGAGATACGGCGCCAAATAAACATGAGTGAACGAAAAAAATATAGGTACAAAAGCGAGGAAATAAAACGGGCGAATTCGGGGAGTAAAATTTCTTTTAAATTTCTTTACTGCCCACAATTTTGGGTTTTTCTTCGTTTTTGTTTATTTTTTGGATTGTAGATAATAGAGGATGCATTCCC